TGACTTTTTTTCCCTCACAATTGAGTTCTTCTCTCACAATTAGTTATTGTAATTCACAGTTTTTATCTCGCAATTCTGACTTTTCTCTCTGAATTCTCTCAAGTTTACATCTCAATTTTTTTTAGTTTCAAACAGAATAAAAAGGTAATTGCAACTTTTTCCTACAATTCTGATTTTTTTTCTTGCAACTGCGACTCCATTTTTTTTCTCAGAATTGCGGAGAAAAAGAGTTGCAATTACCCTTCTAATTTTTTTATTCCATGGTGAAAACTAGCTTCCATAATTTTGTGAGACAATTAAAAAAGCACACTCAAAATAGACAAAATAGGAATGGTTCATCCAACACAAAGTATGTTCCTTCACTTTTTCTGAGGATCGACACTCTTAATAGATTTCGCCATGTAGCACCAAACTGTATCAATAATGTTTTTAATAAAGGTGTGTATTCTGTAGCCTAATGTTAACAGATAAATTAGATCTTGCTATTAAGAACTTTTGGGAGAATATAGGACAGAAGTCAAACATTTATGGCAAATTTATATCTTGTTCAATTATTTGACCAAACTGACAAATTACATGAAAAATGACATGAAAAATAACTGACTAAATGTAAAGGACACTTCATTATATAAAAAAAAAAACATAACATACTTAAAGCGCATATACTGTATTAGAACTGCATCGCATATACTCATTTAATTAAATCGTAGCGCTTGTGAATTCACATTTATGCTTAATAATGATTTTTAAATGGGTTTAATATATCATGCAGCCTTGGGAAATGGTCTAATAATGTGCTTTATGGATTCTCGTCCGTGAAATGCGCCACTTCCAGTATTTTGCCGGATAGTCGACACAGCAAAATTAAGACGAGGATTTAAAAAAAAAAAACGAATAGTTGAATAAAATCAACGAATCGCGACAGCCCTAAATATTATATTATAATATTATATATGCAGTATTATACAAAAAACTATGTATTGTATTTATAAATGAGGACATTCATAAATGTCGTGTAATGGAGGTTTTCATAGCTTTGATAAGTGAAAGTGAAAGTGAAAAGTGAGGTGACATGTGGCCAAGTATGGTGACCCATATTTGGAATTAGTGCTCTGCCTTTATCCCATCCAAAGTGCACACACACAGCAGTGAACACACACACACCGTGAACACACACCCGGAGCAGTGGGTGTGATTCGCTTAATATTGTCTACACACATATTTAACATTTCTGCACTCACACAAACACAAAATGCAAGACTGAAAATTGAGTAGCCTAAATAAAAGTAAACTATGAATATATTACCCTAGAAAGTGCTGCCCTACCACAATTTCTGATTGCCCCCCCAGTCCAGCGAGCCTAGTACCGGGCCTGATTGGGCCTTATGATTTTCATTGTATGGACAAACGACACTGAGATATTTCCCAAAATATCAGAAAGAAGTGAGTGATTTCAGTCATCTCTACCTATTTTTGCATGCAATACGTATCAGATAGTCAGTGAACAGACTGTGGGCGGCCCATAAGCATGCCATCTGCGTCTGAAACTACGTCTATATGCACATGCACACAGCTGCTTTATTAAGGAGCCTCTGCCGAATTGTTAAACAGACTCAAGTACTTCCATATGTGTCCTCGGAAGACTTCCCATTGGAAGAGGGAAAGCTGTTTTTTGAACTTGGACAATAAAATACACTAAATGGGCCCGAAACCAAATTTCAGCTAAAACTTCAGTCATACCTCTGTGATTTATACAGATTATTCACAGAAAGTTAACTAATCTAAACCACATGGTTAAAGACCTCCACATATCAATGAGCTTTTTCAAGCTGATTCAATTACTCGTAAGACAGCCTTCCGTCTAAGGCTTTGGGTAAGAGCTCATGACACAGACTGAATTTCTGTTTCCCAGACTCCATTCCCAGCATGCCTCAGCACGCTCAGTTGAAGTTGTGACAGCACAGCCCTCCTGCCACAGCATTTTTTTTAGAAATAGCTACAACAAGAAAGAAACTGTCAAAACGAGTTACACCGACTACTTTAGAGTCCACTGACAGTATTCCCAACTGATCCTTGGCCTTTGAGTCTGATCTCCAGTGGGAGTGAATGAAAGAAATCAGGCTGCCTGGAATTCCATCCGTGCCACCCTCTGACAGACCAGCAACCTCCAAAGCAGACATCACACTTTTTCTGCAAAGTTTCACTGGATTTCTCAATCAAATCCTCCTTTGGCAAATCCAAAAATGCTAGGAAGATTATTAGTTACATGTCTGAAGATTTCATGCTCGTGGTTATGCATTTTATCCACTAATAATTGACGTCAGGTACAAAAGATTTAAAGGGAAATATTTGTATTCAATTAAAAACTATGAGCATTTAGATTGAAACGATATGGAACGCTGTTTTACATCCTTCAAGTAAGTTACCAACAGAATCAAACTCGCGTTTGAAGCTTCGTTGTTCTGTTCATAACAACAGTTCAATGAGTTTCCAATGCAAAATGATTAGGTAAATGTAAACATGTACACGTTTAAATCTGTTTGGACTTGTTTAACTTTCGAGAGAAGTAGCAGCCAAAGTGTTTCGAACAAAAGTCTTACCTGTGGGAAAGCAGGAAAAAACCACACTCTGCGAGGTCGCGGAGCGGATAAACATTTGCGCTTTGCTCGCGCGAGACGGCGACAGTGATTAGATTCTTTTCGAACGATCGGCTGTTACATTTCGTCCGAAGTTTTCGGAGAGTTCTAATTGATCACATTCACAGTTCCGGGTTGAATAATGTCCCTCCCGCCCCCTGGAGGAGGGAGCGGAGACCCGACTCTCCAAAAGTTTATGGGAATTTTAGTTTTTTTTTGAGGGACCCAGAGGGGCGACCCGAAACCTTACAGTAAACTAACGCTGCCCGAGACTAAACTAAACGCAACATTTATAATAAACGCAGCTGTTTACAGACGCAAGTCAGACTGTACTGTAGATGTCGGTTCCATAAATACTGATATGGGAAATATCTGAATCTGCTATTTTACGTATTTTATTATTGCTTCATTATTATTCATAAACAACCTAGATCTGAAGAATTTCTACTTGAAATGGAGTACATAAAATTACTAATGATAAGCATTCAATAAGAAGAGAATATTTAATAATCAATTTTTGGTGTTGTTTCCTGTATCTTAATGCAAGTTTTTTTTCTGTTTAATTTTTATTTACTAATTTAGTTGTTTTATTGTTTGTAAGCTATGCAACTTTTTTTTGCATCAGTGTATTTTCATGGATTAATATCCTTTAGTTTACACAACAGCATCTAATAAATGATGTAAAATAGTTTGTTGACCATTTAATTGTTGCAAAAAATACATTTCATTATTGTACGATTATATAAGACAGTTGATTGATGCAGTTTTATTTTTTTAATCACCAATACAAACTATTAAAATAGTATCTTCAATAGTAAATTAAAATAGCACCTTAAAGGGCCATGAACCCCCAGACTACTTTTTCTGAGATTTTAGCAGAGGTGTTTGTGTTGCACATCATAGAAGACAATGTTAGCATCCGATAATTTTAACTGTTGGAGAAAACTGGTTAATTTTCATCTTCAGGGTTTAAAATCTTCATTGTGTTGACGTCACAAATGGCCCATAGTACATCAATGACGCGTCAGTCTCTATTAAATTATTCATGAGACTTCACTTAATTATTCACATGTAAAACAAAACACTTATGTTTTTGATATTTAAATCTACAATGAAATATAACAGCAGATTTGTTGATGTATATAAATAATTATCCTGACACAAACAAACAACGCTGCTATAATTACCAAATGCAATTTATGTTGGTGTGACTGTTTACTGAAAGATAAAATAACTTGCTTTGATAACTGAAAACTTTTTGACTTCCTTATATAATAGCTAAACAATGTTACCAACCCAAGTTTTTAACCACTACACTACAACAGACCTATTCAAGTGAAACTAGAACAGAAATGCCTGTATCTGCAGGATATGACTCACCTTGAAGCAGTATGACAGACTCCTAAGGAATTAGGTGAAGAGAAAAAAAACAAGGAAGCATAGCAGGAGCAAATGCCTTAAAATCAAACAAAGATCAATTCAAGAGAATCACAAATACAAAAACACTATTTCATGGGGATGACAATTCCAGTAAAGAACAACAATTCCGGTATTTTACAATGACAGTGAAAATCTGAAAACCAGATTTGAATTCTTGAATTCCCTGGATACTGTAAAACTGTCTCGGCCAGCCCAATCAACGCATAGGGCTGGAAGTTACCTGCATGATACTGTTTTAAAGTGCAATGTGGAGATAAACTAGACAGAAGAAACTGCAGACTATTTATCTAATGAAAACCAGAGCAGTTGGAGTTCTATCAAGTACAAAAATAAATGGTAAATGCTTATGTGTACAAGCATAAAAATATAATTTAGCAGATAGGAACATTAAGAAAACAAGAAATGATTTTAATGGGGCCAACCATTAGTACCGACAGTCAGGAGCCCACATAATGACACTCTGTTTGGACAGCGCTTAATACACACCACATTGATACTCTATTTCTTGTCATATTGAGACTTCTCTTTAATTCCCCCCCCAAACCCACATCCTTCTTTAGACAGTTTGTCTCATATACAGACATAATGAAGATGTCACTTATTTCAAAAGAATATATACACATATACAAACGGGATAAGGACAGATATATTATATTATTGTAAAGAACTGTTCTGAGTGAGATTTTTTTAATGATTTTTTAAAATAGAATTTCTTGGTAAAAATGTTTTCTCAGGTAACCTAAAATGTGCATCATTTAGTTACATCAAGAGTCAAATTAAATATAAAAAGTTAAAAGTTACACATTTTTGTGTGTATGCACTGAACAGGTTTGGTATAAAGAATGCTTTTGGTCAGGTGGCCGAAATGTCCACCCAATATTGAAAAGTTTTGCTCAGCAAGAAAAAAAGAGGGAACATTGCATATCAGCAATAGATGATAAACATCAACAAGGAGCAGCACATGTCTAGCATGTTATACAGGTCCTCACCTTTAGGGTCAAACATTTCTGAAAGTTCTTTGGGGAGATCCAGCACTGAGAAAACGAAGAGAAAACCGAGTCAGAATTGCTTAAGCAAGCCAATTTGCTTCAACTGATTCAGAACTTTAAAGCATTTTAATTAATCACTTTTATGGTACTGTCCCAAGCCAGACTCAACACTCAACATTTCAGACCAGAATCTTCTTTCAATAAAGATTAATGACAGAATCATGCTCATTTTCAAAAGCACAGGCACTTACGATCTGAAGGGTCTGTTTTGATTGGTTCAAAAAGGGTTGAGGAATCAGGAAGTGAAGAGCTGCTGTCCAGTGATGCAGAAGACTGCAGCTGCTGCGTGTCTGTTGAAGATGTCAGATTGGCTGTTGTATCTGAAGTGGAGGTGCTTGAAATGTCTAATAACAGCAATATAGCATGAGAAATTATATATTTCATTATATGTAATTCAATAGTTATATAACAACAACAATAAATGTTATGTAATTGATAAACAAAAATACATAATTTACAATACTGGTTAAAAGTTTAGAATGATTTTTTTTTTTTAATGCTTTTGAAAGAAGTCTCTTATGTTCACCAAGGCTGCATTTATTTTATTACAATACAGTAAAACTGTAATATTGTAAAATATTACAATATTGTCATTTGTAATTTGAATATATTTTAAAATGTAATTTATTCCTGTGATGGTAGAACTGAATTTTCAGCAGTCATTAGGCCCTTTCACACCGCGGGAACCTTTTCAAAGTACCAGAATTAATTGTGGAACTACCCACTTTTCGGCGTGTTCGCACCGTTGGAACTGGGTGCGATTTTAGTACCGGACTGCCTTTTTCGAGAACCAAATTAGCTCCTACTCCGGAGCAGGGTCTAACCAGCACAACTGGTACTAATCGTGACGCAAGTAGACATTGATTGACCAAATGTGTACGGAAACACCCTCCCCCACCATGATTTAAAACACCGTGTAAACATACTGTAAACATTGTGTCAACTTATTTCGCAAGTATGGAGAACAGCGATAGATGGACGGACGCTGAAGTGCAGGCACTTGTAGCAAATGTAGCACTGCCAGTTGTCGTTGGAGATTCTTAGTCCTCCTTTCCATTCTTTCAATCGCTTTACGTATAAGTCGACTTTCCATGTCAATTATTGTGAAACCCAGGAGACACAACAAAAACACCGCTCCGATCACAGCGTCCTCCATCCTCCTGCTAATGTTGTTCTTCTTTGTTTCTGTTGTTGAACGCCACGCACAATTGACGTAGCTGTCGACCGGCTTACGTCACTTCTTAGTACACACTGTCGGTGCGAATGCAACCCTTTAAATGGTACTGGGAAATAGTTCGCGTAAAATCGTCCCAGTACTTTAGTACTGTACATTTAGTTCTGGAACTAAAGCGGTGCGAAAGGCCCTATAATAACGACAGGCCTTAGTGTCACTTGACCCTTCAGAAATCATTCTAATATGCTGATAATTAATAATGGTGCTTATCATCAATGTTGGAAAAAGGGTTTTTTTTTCAGGACGTTCTGATCAATAAAAAGTTCATAAGAATAGTTGGAAAAAGTTTTTTTTCTGAAGCATCATGTGACACTGAAGATTGGAGTAATGACTGATAAAAATTCAGCTTTGCATCACAGAAATACATCACATTTTTACATTTTAAAACAATTATTTTTATCTGTAACATTTCACAATATTACTGCATTTACAGTATTTTTAATTAAATAAATGAAGCCTTGGTGAACATAAGAGAAAAAATCTTATTTCAAACATTTGAATATATAATTGGTAATATTATATATAATGATAACACTATATAATCCCTAATTACATAACCAACTTTGCCAATGTGTAAATCATAATACAATAAGACAACAAACAAAGCATTTTCAGACACAATAATTTATTAAAATATGGGCAGTATCCAACCTGTAGCTGCCCCAGCAGCAGAGGCAGTGGTTGTGTTGGGAGGGACGGCGGCAGCGGGACTCTGGCAGGTGGAGGTGGAGGATTGCGTACTGTTGGCTGCCGGTTTGGTGGGTGCAGCAGCAGCAGAGGTAGTTGAAGCTGGGGTGGACAGGCTCTGAAGCATGTCGTCAGGCGGGGGCACGGGCAGCACCACAGGAGAAGAACTAGAGGGGTCCTTATTCACCAGCAGGACCTCGATGGGGCCTGCAGAGCTCTTCAGGTGAATCTGGTACTTCTTTTGTCCATTGACATGCTAAAACAATTACAATAATAATAAACAAGTGTATTTATATAGAAATATATAACCTCTCCACATTACTTTTTAATGGAAATACAAGCAGGACTTACAGATTCAGGCAGTGGAACCTCCAGCTGTGTTCCTGAAGGAGCTCTTATTGCTAGAAGAGTGTCACCTAGTGGCAGAGAAACATGTATAGAGTTAACGTAGTAGACATTTGCAGCTTTCTGACTGGCAATAATTGTTATTGCAGCAACACTGGTGTTGTGTTGGGAGTCTGATGGGAAAAACCAACCTTTGAAGCAATTGCAGAGGTCTTGATGCGTTACATACGCCAGAGTGTGTCAAGTTAAGGACATAGAGAAACATTAACTTTCAAATACAAACTTCACTTTGAGGATCAATTTAAAGTGTCACATGAGCATGTAGAGCTAAAACAATCCAGACTTTAAGTACCGTACAGTGGTTACAACACTCAAAAGATAAAACCTAAAGGTGTAGCTAGAAGGATATGGGCTATTTAGCGAGTCGTCTGTCACGTTTTTGATGCTCTGCTGAACCCAAACTCTCTGCTGGTCCAGTTCATGTTCCCTCCTGTCAAGATCCTCCAATTCCAACTTGAGATCAATTAGCTTGTCTGCAATTTCACGTGTGTTGCAACCCGGACCAACACCCCTACAAAGAACAAAAACAGAGACAGACATTTAGATCAAGTGAATTAGTTGACATTCAAACAGATACCTCTCAAAAATATAAACAGCTACAGCTTAGTAAAGATATTAATTTTAAACAGATGTCTCAGAAGAGCAGTTAAATGCATTTTCATGTTTTGGTTGGGTTATTTCTTAAAATAAACCTTGCTCGTTGTCACTCACTGTATATTACTTCAAATTGTAATACATAAATACAATAATATTTTACAGTACAGTACAGTAAGATTTTAAAGAAAGTGCTCAATAAGGCTGCATTTATTTGATCAAAAATACAGTAAAACAGCAATATTAAAGTTTTTTTTTTTTTTTTATTGTTTTCCATTCAAATATATTTTAAAATGTGATTTATTCCTGTGATGCAAAGCTGAATTTTAAGCACCATTTCTCCAGTCTTCAGTGTCACGTGTTCCTTCAGAAATCATTATAATATGCTGATCTGCTGCATTTCTTATAATCATCGAAGTTGAAAACAGTTGTGCTGCTTAATATTTTTGAAGAAACTGATACCTTGTTTCAGGATTCTTCGATGAATAGAAAGTTCAAAAGAACAGCATTTATTGGAAACAGAAATCTTTTGTAGAATTTTGGTCAGTTTAATATGCCTTTGCTGAATAAAAGCACTCATTTCTTATAAAAAAATTAAGAATATATATATATTTTTTACTGACACTTGAGTGAACGTGTACATACAATACTATATTTCATATTTACACAATATACTTTGTTGCCGTACCCATGCAATAATAATAATAATAATTAACATTATAATTACATAATGCTAGTTAGTTTCACAAAGAAAAGATGTCTGAGATTCTTTAAACCCAGAAGCCCATTAAAACTTTAATTTGTGATGTGAAACTTTAATAATGCAGTGACCAAAAATTATAGGAATAAGGAGTATGTTTCAACATTAAAGTCATCAGAAAGCATCTGCACGTCTGTCTTACTTCCACTGGATGCTGTTTTTGGATTTCTTCTCGATGAGTCCAATGCCTTCCAAAACATTGGTGATGTCATAGATACGCCGTTTTTGCCTTACAGCCAAAGTATCTGCAGCCTAAATCACATTCAAACAAACAGAGCAAACCAGATTATTGTTTCACCTCTTTACCCGTAAATAGACTAACTACACAACACACACACAAAGTGTTTTGCACAGTGCAAATGTTTCACATATGAAGCCATTAAAAGAGCAGCTCACTGAAAAATACTCACTTTTTATGACTTATTAAAATATTAGGCACAATGTGAGAGACAGACAGCGTTGGTCACCATTCACTCTCACTCACTTTTTTTTTCCAAGCAATGAAAGTGAATGGTGACTGAGGCTGTCATTCAGCCGAACATCTTTTGTGCTCCCACTGAAAATATCAATTTATATGGACTTGAAACAAAATGAGGGTGAGTAAAGTCAGAATTTAAAAAAAATTTCCGTGAAAGGTCCTTCCAAAACTGACTTAAAAAAAAAAAAAAAAAAGTCCAGAAAAGTTGACAAGCAAGCAACTTGATGCAATCAAACTTAGATCGCTCAAAATCACCAAATGATACTTTTAACATACTTTAGACGTGTAATATTACGCTTAAACCCCAAGAAATGCAAAGAAACGCCTCCCCTGGTCGCGCAGGCCTAAACTATCCCAAACTCCAGGGCACGTGCTTGTTTTGAAGGCTTTTGTTTGAGTTTTCAGCCCGGATGGGATCTGCTTCGCAACCGCGGGAAAAACCCTCCGGGACACAACAACAAACACCCGAGCTGATTTACTTTGCCGATAGGAGTGACATAAAATGTGCAACCTGTTAGCTGGCTCGCCTGGTGTAGTTGAGGAACTCGTTTATTTGAGGCGAGCTGTCGGGGAGTCGAGAGAGGGACTGTGTGTGCACGTGACCCCCTCTTCCCTTACCAGAGCAACTTTTCCGTGCTGTTATAAGACCTAAAGTGCATCTGTTTGCATGCAAACATTAAAAACGATGCATATTCAGCTGGCGCTGCGCGTCTCGTGCGATACTGAAAACATATAGCTGATGATGGTGGTGGTAGTGATGATGAGGATGAGCTCGTGTCGTACTCACAGCTTTGAGATCCAGCACTCCGTCCTTCGCTTCCTGCAGCAGAGTCACAAATTTAGTCGTGAGCAGTCCGAGACTTTTCTCGTGGCGGCTGGGGGTCTGCGGTTGCAGCGACTCTCCCATTGCTCCCAGTTCGTTTCTTCCGGTCTCTAAATCCATCAAGTTGCTTTTAAAGTTTGATTAAATTCCCACAGTTCTCTTTCCGGTTGGTTTATGTTTGAATATGTAACGCTTTCTGCTGTTATATCGCTGACAGCACCGCTTCTGCCGCCCAAACGCTCGCTTCCCGTCAACTGCCGGTGATTCCTGAAGCATGGACGGGGAAGTTCAGCTCGAAATGAGAGAGTTTAGACCCCCGTTCAGGGACCGGTCCGGTTCAGGACACAGGTTACCCGAACCCAGATGGCCTAACAGAACAGACGCTCTCTCAAACACCAGGACTGAGCTGCTTGAATGACTGAAGCCGTTGAAGCGCGGTGCATCATGGGATGATCTGATAAAAAAAAAGGAAGGCGCCTGCATTCTGTCAAACGGCCTGTAGGGGGCACCTTGAACTAAGGCGTCCATGTGGGGGCCACAGATACCGTTTTTTTCTCTGTCATATGATAAATTGAAAAAAATTTGTAGCTTTTGATGTGTTTGAATTCATTAACCATTTAAAGCAGTAAGGCACCCCTGGATTTGCTTTCTTTCAATTAAGTGTTTTATCTTTAGGCATTGGTTCATTATTTTAGACTTTTTTTTTCTTTGACTGGCAGATAGATATATAATATAATAATAATAATAATAATTAAGGCCTATTAATAAAAATATATATTGACAGACAGACAGATAGATAGATAGTAGCCTATATACTGACATATATATATATATATATATATATATATATATAATAAAGGCCTATTAATAAAAATATATACTGACAGACAGACAGACATATAAATAGATAGATAGGTAGATAGATAGATAGTAGCCTATATATATTGACAGATATATATATAATATAATAATAATAATAATTAAGGCCTATTAATAAAAATATATATTGACAGACAAACAGATATACAGACAGACAGATAGATAGATAGTAGCCTATATATTGACAGATAGATATATAATATAATAATAATAATAATAATAAAGGCCTATTAATAAAAATATATACTGACAGATAGATAGATAGATAGATAATATCGATAATCGGTCAATATAAATATATTCATTTTGAGCCTGCAGGCAAGGTGCACCGTGGGAATGTTCAGTGTTTGAAGTGGGAGGGCTCGTGTGTTGCTATCTGAGTTTTACGTGAAAGGAGAGCAGTTAACCGCTGGACATCAGTCAGCATGCTGGGCTTTCTGATACTGCTGTGGATATGCATCTTCCTCCTGTTCCTCTTCATCCAAATCCCGAGGCCTAAGAACTTTCCTCCTGGACCTCGTCCTCTGCCATTATTTGGGAATCTGCTGGAGCTAAACATCAACAATCCTTTGAAAGACTTTGAGAGGGTACAGTATTACATTCTTTAAACACTTCATTGATCACTAATTTGAATCTTGAAGAAATACATTAAGAATATCCATGCAACATTCCAAAAATGTAAAATATATGGTAGCGTATTGAACTGCAAGCAGTCTAATGTCTCAATGCTAAACCTTTCAGCTCGCAAATCGCTATGGGAAAGTTTACAGCCTGTATCTGGGATCAAAACCTTGGGTGGTTCTTAATGGTTTTGAGGTTTTGAAGGAAGCTCTTGTTACTAAGGCTATGGACTTTGCAGGACGCCCACAGGAACTCATGGTCAACCATATTACAAAAGGAAGTGGTAAATCTACTTGCAAATGAACCTTCACTCTTATACCTTTGTACAGACTATGGTTAATCAATATCCTTTTGAGGTTGTTCACATTGTGTCTCTTCTATAGTCCAAAGAGCAATTTTCTACTTTATCCAATATTACACTAAGTATCATTGAGGCCAATAAATGATATTTACATATTACTGCAGGTGTAATTTTGTCTGACTATGGCTCCAGTTGGAAAGAACACAGACGCTTTGCTCTGATGACCCTGAGGAACTTTGGGCTGGGGAAGCAGTCAATGGAGGAGAGAATTCTAGGAGAAGTTTCTCATGTTATTGCCAAATTGGAAAAAAGAGTTGGTAATAATGTGATTATTTTTGTTACATACCTGTATCTTAAAGGAACAGTTCACACAATGTCAATTTTGACTTGACATTCAGATCAATGTACACTGTGTCTGTGCAGGAAGCCCCTTTGACCCTCAGACTATGTTCCACAATGCTGCATCAAATATCATCTGCATTGTTCTGTTTGGATCCCGCTATGATTATGACGATGAATTCCTCAAGCTTTTCATTCACCTCTATACAGAGAATGCAAAGATTGCCAATGGACCATGGGCCATGGTATAATCATCTTTTAAATTATTATATTCATAGCTAGTAAAATTATTTACTTGTTATTGTTCAAATAAAAGTTTCAGGATTATGTTATATGGCATATAAAGACATTTAAAATTAACAGCATTTTCACTAGTGATATTTTGGACCTTTTATAAAGAAATTTTGTCTGTTTTATTGCAGATTTACGATACATTTCCTGTGCTGAGCAGTCTGCCTCTGCCCTTTAAAAAGGCCTTCACAAATGCCAGCAAGGCCAGAGAAATGTCTGCACAACTGGTCAACGAGCACAAAAAGACAAGAGTCCCAGGAGAGCCAAGAGACTTCATTGACTGTTATTTGGATGAGCTTGATAAGGTGCATGTGCGCATCTGTGATGGTATTTTTTAGGAATGCACATTTTCACAATGTTGTTACCATATCTGTTATCCCCAATATTAGAGAATTTTTATTTATTTATTTTCCTATGAATTAATTAGTAGAAAAGTCAATTTCTGCTCTGCCTCTCCTATGGGGACAAAGAGTGGGTTATCCTACTCACATTCCTGGGGGGGTCATAAAACCAGTGATATCATGATTAGTTGTCATGGTGACCAAGGGGGCCTGGTGTTCAGCAGAAATCCTGGCATCCAGTTTAACTGTGACGATTTGTTAATCTAATGAATAATTGATTTGTTAAATCAAATAAAAATTAGTGTGTCAGATTGGTCGAGACGCTACAGAGTGCATTTTGTGAAATTATATATGCACATGTGTCTCGTACAGGTCCTCGTGTGTGTCTCGGTGAGGGTCTTGCACGTATGGAGCTCTTCCTGATCATGGTGACTCTGCTGCGCCGCTTCCAGTTTGTGTGGCCCAATGATGCCGGGGATCCAGATTACACCCCAGTATATGGGGTCACCCTCACCCCCAAACCATACAGAATGCACATCAGACGCAGAGAGACAGTCAGTTTATAATGATTATGACAGATTTATGTTGCAATGATGTTTTGATGTATTTTAATAACTATGTGACTGGTTATAAAAATGCCATAAAAATAATTGAAAAGACAGTTCTTGAATAAAGACCTGTTACAAAATAGTATTCTTCCTCTTCTTGTCTGAATGTGTGGCAGTGAAATGAAAAATTTTAAAAAATAAATGAAAAGCTATAACTAATATAGATATAGAAAAGGCTTCAAATTTTATCACCACTTGCACTAATGTTTAAAAGTTTGGGGAGAATTTCTAAAATGTCTTTGCAAGAAGTCTCTTATGCTTTTATGCATTTATAGATGAAAAATACAGTAAGAGTTGTAATATTGTGAAATATTTCTACAGTTTAACAGCAAAATAACAGTTTAAAATTTCACTACATTTTGAAATGTAATTTATTCCTGTAATGGCTAAGTTGAATTTTCAGTCTTCAGTGTCACATGATCCTTAAGAAATCATTCTAATATACTGATTTGCTGCCCAAGAAACATTTCTTATTATTAATGTTGATGTTTTGTGATTAATGATTTGTGGAAACCATGATACATTTTTTTTTTAGGATTCTTTGATTAATAGAAAGTTCAAAAGAACGGCATATATTTGTCTTCACTGTCACTTTTGATCAATTTAATGCATCCTTGCTCCATATTGGTATACATTTACTGTCCCCAAACTTTTCAACAGCACTGTACCTTCATTAAACATGAGCATTCCACTAGATAGCACCAACTTCAAAACACTGAAGAAAAAAAACACTAAAACAAAAAGTATAAAGTGAAAATAATCATTTTGTAAAATTCTAAACTACATAACCTTTTTCAATCAGCAGTTATAAAAAAAAGCTTATTTGCCCTTGTAATTGGGCCTTTTGCTCATAGACCTGATCAACTGGATATATGGCTTTATCTCCTGTATACTCAAGGGATATATAGAGTTCAAACCAGTTTGATCCAAGTGAATACAGAAACACAAAATGTTGAGCAGTGTTTGTTTGCCTGGGTTCCTTTTATCTTTCCTGGAACACGGACATAATTTTTGTTCAGATGGACTAAGAGACTGAGTGCTTTGAGTTCATACGCTTTTTTTGCTTGAGGGACAACAGCTGGACGTCTAGTCAGCATGTTGGCTCTTTGATTCTTGTGTGGACATGCATCTTCTTCGTCTTCCTCCTCATCCGGATCCAGAGGCCAAAGAATTTTCCTCCCGGACCTCCTCCTCTCCCTTTATTTGGGAATCTGCTTCATGTGAATATGGCCAATCCTTTGAAGGATTTTGAAAGAGTATGGCTTTCTTTTGATCATCTGAAGCTTAAACATTACAATTTTTCTTGTTTGTAAGGTTTTTTTTTACAATATTTTAAGTTTGCAGAACAATATGGGAACATTTTCAGCCTGTATACTGGTTCAAGGCCAGCTGTTTTTCTAAATAGTTTTGAGGTTATTAAGGAGGCTTTGGTTACGAAGGCTCAAGACTTTTCAGGACGGCCTCTAGACTTCATGATCAATCATCTCTCAGAGAATAAAGGTAACTCATACTACAAGCTGTCCTATCAGCTAAGTAATCAAATCAGTCTAGTGAGTGAAATATTGCTTTTATATAACAGTTCCATAAATAAGTTGTGTTTGAGTTAGGCCTACTTACATTTAGACACAATATTGCCAATTATATTGGCTTTGTATGAATTAGCTCCACAAGAAGTCAAAGCAGTTGTGCATCAACTGTGTCATTCCTGAATGAATTTTGAACGAATAGGTTGAGTAAAAAACTCACTGCACTGACTTGTCTCTGCTTACTGGCGTAAAGTAGAAAGTATACTTCTAGTTCGGGCAACAACACATGCGCAAGTGATTTGAGCACTCAAACCCAAAAGGTGTGTCTGAAATCGCATATTGAATAGGTACTACGTTTGAATTTGAACTTACTTTGCGACAGTCAAAAATAGTTAGCTCGAATTAAAGTCGAACGTATATGCTGTTACTGTCACGTGACCAGTGCTGGCTAGATTACTTACACAAATTGCAATCCATTACTGACATAACATTATGTCAAGGTTTACGTCAAATGTGTTACTTAATCATTAACTATTATCATTACCTTAAAATC